ACACACACACACACACACACATATATATACCTTGAGGAGGTAATTAGTCCCCCAATTTGGTGGATATATATATATATATACCTTCAGAACAAGGCAATATATTATGTTATATTTTACACCTACCTTTTTTACGGAATTTACCTTTAGCGCTGTGTTATTACTTGCACATCTATTCAGACATCGATTATTGCCGCACCCACAGCCAGTGACACATGACAGGAGCACATTTAGACTTGCGATTACTACACTGGGCAGAGGGAAGCCTTCCAATACTGACTACCTTTGTGGCTCTGAAAAGTCATGTGACCAAATGCCAAGTACTGCAAAGGAAGTTGATGCCAGAAGATGTGAAATAAACCATGTCCTTTAGGAACACCCACCTTTTACCACACCTTCCAATCACTGTGGCATCATCGTAGGCTTTATTTAGACCATAGACATTTGCCATGAAAAGGCCACATTGCTACCTTTTCCCCTTGGCTCCCAGTCAGTCCTCTCCTGACTCAAACCATGTGAGAAAAGGGTTGTCAGGAGTACATGTAGGAAAACTAGAGGCTTTGTTAACTGGCTTTAGCAGAAGTTGCTAAATCTTTACAAATTGTAGTTGTACTTTAACTACCCATTCATATGCAGTTGAAATAAATAAAGAGGAATTGCTTTTCATTTGACTATTGGAAGTGAATGTTTATTTAATGTAGCCATGTCATTGCTAATGTTGGAAGCAATGGAGAGGACTTCTGACTGTTCTTTTTGTACTATACTCTGTAAGGATATATTGCCAGCTGTCTCACATTTGCTTTGCTTGCCCTGGGATTGTTTTTTGCAAGGTATTTTAATGAAGCAGATACTGAGAACAAGAGCTATTCATCAAAACAAAACTGTACCATAACAATAAACCTGGTTATGAGAGTAAACAGTTTTTTGCTTTACCCACAAAAGGACAACAGATCACTAAAACAAGCTAAACATCCCGATTTCTTCAAAGGAGGTTGGAGTAAGTTTCATTTTTGCTTTGTCCTCTTCTGGATTGACAGAGTTACAATTTATATAAACAGGTGGCATGTTTCAGACGTCTTGTTAAAAGGTGAGTTCACTTTCTCACAAATTGTGGAAAATAGGACTCAGCCACTGCACCCTGCCACCTCCCCTTGCCCCCGCTCTACTTACACGTCTGAAGTCCCCACCAGCTGATGTAGCAGTCCGTACACCGGACTTCCCAGCCCCACGCTATGGAATGCTCAAAATACTCACAAATGGTGACCGCGCTGACCAATGAGGAGCGCGTTTGAGCCAGGGCTAAGGTCCAAGAAGTAAGGACACTTTTCATTGGTCAGAGTATTCAGTACGTTTAAAATGAACCTGAATCCTGAAAAAAAATATTTTTGGCCTTGATTTCCTCTTATAAAATAGCAGTGCATTTCCTGAGCCTAGTCACTTTTTTTGCCTTGAGCCTCAAATCTGTATATCAGTAGTGTAAGATCTAAGGCCTATAACTCCTATTCTCATGAGATTTGATGGTGTCACTACTGTGCTGCTCACCGTTTTCCTTGCCGAAGAGAAAGCTGTCCCTGAGGACCTGCAGTGGAAAGATGACCCTGCTTTTGCTTTATGCATTTTATGGATCTGTTCTTTCTGAACCCCTCCTGTTAGTAGTTGATCATTACCCCATCAGTCATCAGGGAGGAATCTCTGGTATGAGAAATCAAAGCTCTGCCCCTATCACGTTTAATACTGGGGAATTGATTATCTGAAGGGATAGCACAGACAATACTGGTAATTAGTCATTTGTCCTCTCCTTGCTTTTTGTAGGAACACTTTCCAAAGTTTAGTTTCCGTTTAAACTTAGAATCATTTTATTGCTAAAAATGCTTGTTAAGGATGACGTTAAAGGGCAGCCTAGACTTGACAAGCTTCTGTGAAATTCTATCCTGTTTGGATGAATATGAGAGCCAGACAGACAGAACTAAGGCTCTAGAATGTCTGATGTTTTACTTCTTATAATAAATCAGCATGCATGTTTTATCCCAGACAGAATACCAGCACATCATATTTTTTACTGCACTAGGTATGGATATTTATACAGCTGAGGGTGAAAGCTGCCAAGCTTCTTGTGCAAAGTCTGTCTTGAAATACCACTGTAGCAGCTGATGAAAGTGGAAAACACAGGATTGTCTGTGTTTTGACCTTATCTTCCCAGGTCAATGGACATGCCGCATGTTTCGCACCTACTCACCAGATGTAGAATAGTAGCCAGGATTTTATGGACAGTCTGGATCTCCTCCGGTTTAAATCCAATCACTTTCATCGCCTCTGAAACTTCTTTGAGCTCGGCTGCATCATTAATGGAGGACTGGATGAGAAACAAAGAAAGGATCAAAATAGAATAAAATATGAGACTTAAAGTGGACCTAACTTCTAATAAAACCTCACTTGTACATTACTGTTAAAAGCTAGAGATAATCACCTACTAAGTCATATGAAGACCAGCTGCAGGGGTAAGTACTGCTTGCCAACAGGCGGAAAATGTGCGCAGTCAGAGCCATTGATTGGGTGACAGCCGACATATGACATATGATACGGTACCATTCCATAAACCTTTTACAACATGTTACATGTTAGGACAGCATGGGGTGTGTAAAAGAGGGGACATGATCCGAGAGTTCAGTTCTATTATAAAGGATCCATCCAAGGGCTGGTTTAAACCTAAACGTTGCGCTAATAAATAACCTTTTAATAAAAGGTTATCGCGTAAACTCCAAACTTTATGCTAGACCTCACTACAAAGAATTCAGGCTGTTCTGCAGGCAAAATCTCCCATGATACGAGTTAGGGGTTTGTGATTATTTGGGAATATTTAATTTAGGGGAACAGAACTCACCTTGACACCTGCCAAGCTGCGGGTGTAAGCGTAGGAAGAGAGATCCTTCTGGAGGTGAAGGGAACGCAGTGTCTGCTCTGGTGCTCCCAAGATTAACTATAGAAAAACATATGAACACAACTGATCCTAACATACTAGTGTGCCCAGAACAATAATTAAAAACACCATGCCAATAGTGAACACAAGTTTTATCTCTTAAAAATAAAAGAAAGGTAAATGCGAGGTGTTGCTCCAAACAGTTAATAGTCAGGCTTCTGCAATCTAACCTGTATTTTGGAAATGGGTGAAAGAATCTGATTGGCTACTATCACTGCTGGGATGCTAGGATCTGACCTCTGTCACTTTAAGTGTATTTCCACTTCTACCGTCAAATTTGAGAAACCCCACTATACGTTTGTGTTCTTATTCACACAGCATATGTAAAAAAATATTTCTTACTATTTATATGTTTCCTTGATGAAGACCCTTGTTCAGATTCCAGGCTACTCTGAGCAGTTTGAAAATGAAAGTAGAGGGACAAACCGAGGGACAGACTGAGCTTCTTCTCAGTAACATACAATGCTTCTAAGTCTATAACCCTTTGTTAGGACAGACAGTGTTCAAATCTAGGTTACAGCTGATAATGAAATCTGCCAGTACAAGCAGAGTTAATTAGAAGAACCATAACTTCTCACAGCCCCCTCCTTACCATTACATAGGGGGCCATGTTTAAGCAAGTAGAAAACACTTAAAATGTAAGCAGCATTTTAAATTTTTACTTTAGGTTATGCAATGTGAAAGGCAACATAATATAAAGTAGGTGTTATTCCTATTTGGCTGCAGAAGTGGAAATACACTTTAAGCTAGCCGATAAACAGTCAAGACGCACATGCACAACTCGACCGTCTTCCAATGTCTGTAGGCAGAGCTTCTGCCATAGACAGCAATGCTTGGGACAAATATGCATTCCTGATATGGTGATGTAGAGAGGAGGTGTGACATAGCAGGAAGCGACAGTTGCAGAACTGGCTTATCTTGGGGGAGATGACAGAGACTGTAAATTGTTTCCAATATCTACGGCATCCTTACTGTCATGTAGCTGAAAATGTGACATCAAAAAGTAAAGAGTCTAAGCATTGAACATTTAAAGTTAAAGCACGTTTAGATCATATAAATCAGTGGTTCTCAACCTGTGTAACCTCAGGACCCACATTTGTCCTTGGTCATTAAGTCGTGACCCAAGTCGCACTGCAATGGAACGCACGGCATTGTGGTACTGCACGTTCCGATGCGGGCAATAGAACTGTGGGTGGGAGATGCATCAGGGGTGTCATTCAAATGAATGGCAATGCACTTTTCACTCAAACGCATGGAAGTTGCGATTGAGAAGTACAGTGCGTTAATCGTACGGGACTGTGCGATTAACGCACTGCACTAATGTGAATGGGCCCTCAAAAACACACAACCACAGACACAATCTCACACACACACATATACACACTGCAAAAAAAAAAAAAAAAAGTTTTGTTCTTTTTTTTAAGATCCACCCAGTCTCCCTACCTTATGATAACTGGAGTGGATCCTTAGCCTGGGGTCCGGTATGGGCTGCTGGAGCTCCATCCATATGTGCAGGGCTTGTACAGCTCCCTTACACACCCTGCAGAGGTGCCGAGAGCCAGTATGTTATATCACACCAGTCCAGGGACCTCTACAGAACAAGCGAGGGAGCTGTAAGCAATGCACGTATGGATGGAGCCCACCCTACCTCAAGCTGACACTCGGCATCGGGCAGCATATTTTGAATGACTGCTTGGCACAAGAATTGACAGTGCTGCACTAGGGGGAGGCTGAGAAGCCTCTCACCTAGAAACGTGGAAGGCACACGGGGACCCACTGAACACAGGGTCGGGACCCACTGAACACAGGGTCGCGACCCACTTTTGGGTCACGACCCACCAGTTGAGAACCAAGGATATAAATGACTCCCTCAAAAAGACAAAGAGTTAAGCTGGCCGTACACGGTTTGAATCTCAGGTGATTCCTGTAGAATCTGCCAAAATTCAAGCCATGGGTAACCCTGCAAGCAACACCCAACTCAACCAAAATCAATGGAAAAAAAAATCAACAGAGACAGGTTGAAATTTATTAGCCAAACAGTGACTGTATCCTATCATTTGCAGGCACCGTCTGGGTATTCAGACAGCAGCGGGTGCTACGGCTGTCAGAAAACAAAAGACGACATGGGAGATTCCCCAAACACGCATGTTTAACATGGATGGGGGAATTGGCTGATTTTCTCTCATTCAGCCTGTGGACTGATAAGAGGGAAATCTAGTATTGTATGGCTAGACCCTAGCTAGTCCCTAAAGACAACATACCAAGCTTGCTTCATTTAATACTGACCTGATAAAAGGAGTGGAAGTTTCTCTCCCCCAGCTGCTGGATGATGACACGGGACTAAACAAAAAGAACAAAGACACATTCAAATAAACATCCATCGTGGCCCAGAATTCTGTGATACTCAAAGTTCACGGTAAAAGTGACAAGTGTCTGTAAAAACAGTAGATGTTGGTACTGAACAGCCGCACCAATTTTATATAGTCCAGATACAGCATTATTCCATTTGGGTCAGGGGACATTTAAGTACCCAAACACATTTCAGGGGTCCAAAACACACCCACTTCATCGGGGTCTAATGAGAAAAATCCTGCATGTGAAATACACTTCCTGTAGCTTGAAAGTTGCATTGAGTTTTGATGCTTCAGGCTTGTCAGCAGCTGGTTTCTCAGCAACCCATCTTCTATCACAACTTTCAAGTTGCAGGGATTGTAGTTCACATACATGATTTCTATCATTAAGCTCTGCTAAAGGGGGTGGACCCCTGAAATGTGTTTGGGTAAAGTTGTACCCGGACTATTTGGATTGGCGTTGTGCTTCAATGCCTACATCTACTGTCGAGCCAAGGATACTGTGAAAATACTTTGGATTGTGGAAGCTGTCTATCTGTGCTGCAGTGATCACACATATTCACCTCACCGAACCACTGTTGGATGAGAAACATCAAGAGAATAACTACACACTTCAGAATATATCTGTACCAGTGTGTGTGTGTGTGGGTGTGTGTGTGTGTGTGTGTGTTGCTAAACCTTTGTGTATCAGTACTGCTT